GATTTGCAAATCCAGGTTGTTTCTAAGCCTGTTTAGTGCTCACAAAGACTTCTCCTCATCTTAAGCTCCTTTTCCTACTCTTCCTGCCTTGGGAACCCTTTGGCACAAACAGGGAAGTACCTAATTGCTCAGGACCAAATGGCAGGTTGTTGGTGATAGTCCCTCAAAGTTGCTTATTCTTCTTCTAACGGACAGTCTGTAATGAGTCCTGCAGGACAAAGGCTTTGAAAGAAGCTTTTTCTTCTCTTTCCCTGGAGAAAGTCTCGTTTTTCATCTTGTCTGAGCTCTCTGGGAAAGGCGAATCAATATTCCCACCACCAGGCTGGTCACCACCTGGGCCACTGCTTGTCAGCTTTTGTTCCTGATTAACGGCGTCCTGACATGATTTTCTTGTAAAGATTTTGACAAAATTGGCAAAGCATGAAGCCAAACAATTCTCTCGCCTCGCAAGCAAACTCTGCCGAGGGTATTTATGGGAATGCTGGGGGTTGGGGGGGGGGGTTATAAACAGCTGCCTTCCTGAACCGGATCTTTCCCTGAGCAGGACATACAGGGTGGATAAACATCTCTGTAAGGCTTTTAGGTAAGGTCGGGGTGAATCCTGTTCCTTTTGCATTTTAAGGCAAAATTGGGCAGTAATGGGCACTTCCCCAACCTGCACAATGGCCTTCAGCCACAAGGTGTTGATGTGATGTTGGGACTTTTCCAACCTTGAGCTCCTGAATGAAGAGCCTCAACATCACACCAACACCTTGTGGATGAAGGCCATTGTGCAGGTTGGGGAAATGTGCAGGTTGTTTTCCTCCACTTTATTCTTCCTACAACAATGCTTAGGAGATACTCTGGACTGAGAAGGAGGGACTGGCCCAAAGTCCCCTAGCTTCTGAGGCTGAGGGTTGACTTGAACCGGGGTCTCCCCACTCCTCGTCCAACATTCAAACCATGATATACCCTGCCCCTCTCTGCAGTTCCAAAGATCCTTGGCTAATGTCATCAATTCAAGCCTAGGATGGTAGGAATCTCTTCTTATTTGAGTAGACCCAAATAAGAATGAGTCATGTCTAGATGGATGGAAATGAATCTGCCTAGTTGGTTGGATCTTGGACAGAAAATGGTCTGTCCTGGAGCCCATTGCATGCCAAGATTTCAAGTTTTCTTGCTTCTGAAGAAATGAGTGACTTTAAAAAATAAGAAGATAGAATGCAGCATTAGTCTAGCTGCTCCAGCTAGGTTTGGGGCACTCACTGGAAGAGTTTGGGGCAGGATCTTTTCCCTACTGGACCTTGACATGCTGGAAATTGAACCTGAGACCTTCTCCAAGCCAACCAGCTGCTCTGTTCAAATAATTACGTGTTCCCCTTAAACATGTACACACATACCATTTGCGTTGAATCAAATCATAGTCCTTTTTAATGTGGTTGTGTGGGGGCGCTTTTTAGCAGAGGGCGGTGGGGTGGCTAGAGAGCAAAGTGTGGAGGAACTGTGGAAAAGTGAGGATCTGGGTAGGGAAAACTGGAAGATGACGATAAAGCAGAGAAAGATCCTGTGCAGCCCTGCTTGGTTGGGCCATCCCCATGAATGTTTCTGAACCTGGCTTGCTGACAAGGTAAGTGAAGGCTAGGTTTCATCTGAAGCTATAGCAGTGGCTAGAATGGTGATGAAATGCTTGTATTCACTTTAGTCCATTCTAAGTCCCAGTTAGTAGCTAAATAAGGCGATGGGAATGAAAGATCTACACTTGTGTTTCCTAACATTGGCAACTATGTGGATTTCAATGGCCATGTTGGCTGGGGAATTCTGACAGTCGAAGTCCAGTCAACTGGAGAGCACCGTGGACTTCCCAGAATTCTTAGCAATGACCATGCTGGCTGAAGAATTCTGGGTATTGAAGTCCACATATATGAAGGTTAGTTGGGACACACTGACATAGATAGACAGATAGACAGACAGATAGATTAATAGATAGATAGATGATAGATAGATAGATAGATAGATAGATAGATAGATAGATAGATCTTCATTTGACCTAGTTATTTAAATTTTAAATAAATTTTCCAACTAAATTCTCCAAAGAATGCAATGTACAGGTAATACAGATTCTTGGGAGGAATAACAGAGAGCACAGATATTTTCCAAGCATTGCTCAGAATTCTATTCTGGCCTTTCTCCTGCAACTTAATGGAATCAGTTGGCCACTTTCAATCTTGGCGTAGACAGAGATCTCTTTTTATTAAGTGCTTTAACATATATCAGCTCTGGAAAATTGTTTTATGCATTTGAAGGCTGGAGATGGTCAACAATGGGGAGAAAAGAGACTAGTGGGAAAAAATGATCTAAGGAATAAAACTCAGACAGGGGAGACAAACCTGCTAAGTTGCATTTCCTTTTTTTTAAATAGTCATTTTATTAACGATTCTAATTACAATAGTGAAAAAAAAAACATATACAACCCCCCAAAAAGACAGAAAAATAAAGAGTAGTGCAGAAGGTTTATATTTGTTGTGATGATGGTGGGAAGTCACGTCTTTATAAATTTCTTTTCTTTTTTTCCCTTTATTATTTTTTTTACTTTTCTTCCTTTTCTATTTCTCCATTTTCCCCTTTTTTCTTTCATTCTTTCTTTTCTCTGTTTCCTGATATCTGAGGAGTCACTGGCCAACATCTCCCATTTTGGGATAGGGAGATGTTTCCATTCCAGAATCTTCTAGACAAGGCTGCTGGGAAGGAATTCTGAAGTTCTGGTCATCTGGAATCTCTGTATACCCAGATGTTGCTGAATGCAGCTCTCACCATCCCACCCCTTGGGCTGTTAGGTTCCCACAACACCTGGAGGACCAGAGATGTCCCAACCAAGACTTCAGAAAGTCAGGAGAAGGATGCTTGTAGTCTAGAAATGGAGTCAACACATCTTTCAAGTTCAGCTTCTAACCATTGTTGGCTTTTTCTGATTTCAGCCTAGCTTAAGTGGCAGCATCAAGAGCCCCTTGGCTCACCTTGAAAAAGCTAAACAGCATTGGGTGGGTTCATCCTTGGGTGGGAGAACACCAGGAAATGTGAAGTTGAAACAAACATCCAAGAAGACAACAGCAAATGACTTCTTGGTTGTTGCCGAAAATGTATTCTAGAAAACAAGCTCGACCTACATTTCATTTGCCCTATTTCTGAATGAGTTTGAGGTTCACGATGAAGTTAGTTAATTGCGAAGGAGATGTATATCTTTATGGAAGGAAGAAAGGAAGGAAGGGAATGAAATTAAGAAAGGAAACATTCAAGGCTACTGGGAACGTGCAAATCGTTTCAGGCAAAGCGAGTAGAGGAAGCTTAATAATTAGTCCGTAATTTATTTGCATCTCCTTAATTGGATTGCTCATAATGGGAGGCTTCAGCTCATGCCCACGCCATTAACTTCAATTTCATTCTGCCCACCCAGGCGACTGGAAGATCTACCAGCTGTTAAATAAAGGAGAAAATGATGTTGACCACAGAGGATGTATTCTGGTCTTTCCTGCTTCATACACGTGGGCTCTACATGCGGAGCAAGAATGAAGGAGATTGGGAAGATGGTCCTTCCCACCCAGGTTCATGTCTCCTAGACCTGGAGCGATTCCTATAAAAAAGAATTCTTCTTTTCCACCACCTTGGGTGTCTCCATTCTGCTGTGACGTGCCAGCAAAGACGGACTTTCTGGTTTCTATTCCTGTCCCAGCACCTCCTCCTATTACTCATTAGATCAATAGGGGCAGGATGGAAGGAAGAGCACAGAAGGAGAGGTGAAAGGAGGAATAAAAATAACATAAGAGCCTCGCAATCATGCAGCAATCCGCCCGGCTGCTAACTTTCTGCCTGGGCTGAGCAGAACAACTCTCTTTGCGTCGGTTTCTGCTGGGTCTCACGTTGTTTGAAGAAACAGAATTGGCTTTTGACACTTCTTGCAAGGGAGAAGAGAATGGTCCCAAATTCTCCGGAGCGGAGAGGGCCAGCTTTGCATTTCTTTGGAGTCCTTGCTGGGTAACAAAACGTTTGCAAGGAAACAACAAAATTCAGAGAACCCCAAGGACTCCACAGTTCAACCCTGAGCTACAGATATTATCTTTTATTGCATTTCTTTGGGGATCTGGTTGGGCAAACTATCCACGTGCAAATGCTCTGTCTTTGTCATGCAATAATCTCTCTATTGTTCTGCCTTCCCAAAAGGTTAAATCCCAAAGCAGGAAATCAAAAAGGAACTTTTCCCAGGGGGCTTGTTCAAACTGGGTAGGATGAACAGCAAGGGGGGGTTCAGAGGGATGGAAAGATGTGTCACAGCTGACTATTAAGCAAACTGGGGGGGAAAAAAACTCAAGAGAAATTGGAAAGAAATTCTCAAGCCTCCTGAGAATCAGGCAGAAAAACAGAAGCCTCTTTCACAAGGCGAGGAACCCTTTTCAGAAATGGCCAGGTAGATTTTGGCATGGCCTTACACTCAGCTTTCTTAAAAGTCAGTCCAGAAGTTATGGATCAGAGGAGGGAAAGTTTATATCCAGATTGCAAAACAGAAGTAGAAGCGTCTGATTCAAAAAGCCCAAACAATAGATGAGGACAGTCCCCACCTCCCTATTTTGAAAGCTGTTTCTCAAAACAACCCTAAGATAGAAGAATATACAGAATATACAGCCATTCATAGGCAGCTCTTGACTTTCTTGTCACTAAGTACATGAGCACTATATTCCACCCTGGAGAATTTCATCAAAATGTTCTTTTTCTTTAGGAAAAAAAAAAAACCCAAACAAACCCAAAAGCAATTTCTTTTCCATCAAATAAAAGGAAAAGGGTTTTTTGTTTAAAAAAAGGATGCCAAAGAAATACAATACGAGTCTTAAAACCCTGAGACCATCTCGCTGCTCTGAACAAACATAACCACACAGAACCTGCTTGGGCGATGCGTCCTACCCATTTTGCTCTTTGGATACAGAAAAGATGTCAATTCAACAAATAAAAACAGAAAACGGAGCTCCGATTACCTGCCTGTGACTTCGATATTGGAGACCGCATAGAAGTATTTGTACAAGTTCTCCCTTTGGACGTAGGTCCCCCCGAGAGCTGGTTTCAAAAGCCGTATCCTCAAGTCGGTCATGGTGAAGAAGTCCTTGAGGCCTTTGGCACTCTCCAGCCTGGTGTAAAGATTGTCCATATTTCTGAGCTCTGGTCCAGCAAAAATGGCAAAGCGGTCCCTCACCTCAAACCGGACGTCTTTCTCTTTCTTGGACCCCACCCAGCGAGAGTACTCCTCCGTGCAGATAACCCTGTTGACGCTGGTGGTGGAGAGTTCCCGCACCTTCCGGGCCGGCATGCCAAATGCTTCGTTGCATTCATCCGCGTAGTACTGGTACGGGTGCCAAGTCCTCCCATTGTCCAATGACTTCTCGAGGATCATTTTGGTGGGACGGCCATACTCAAAAGTCAACACAATATCATCGGTCAACTCAATGCTTTTGTTCCAAGACAAGGTAATGTTGGCCAGCAAAGGTTTGGGATAACGGCTCCAGGTCACACTCTGCCAGTAAGTTGCCAGGCCTTCGTCTTCTTTATCGAACATCAGCTTGGGGGGGTGGGCCAGGTCTGGGTTGGAGGCATCACACTCATCGCTGCACAAGTATGGGTTTTCCTGGAAGAGGGACAAGAATGAGAGGGGAAGAAAGGGAGATCTGAAGAGCTAAGAGGGGAAAAAGGAGGGGTGAAGCAGTAGATCTTGAATTGCAGAAACTCCTACGAAAAATAGTAATTTCCCACCACGGAAAATTAAAAAATACAGATGGCCATGTGCGAAACCATGTGTTCCAAAGATATAAACAGCTGATGAAGAAATAAGAGAGTGCTATGATCTTGGGAAGAAAGAAAAGAAAAGAAAAGAAAAGAAAAGAAAAGAAAGAAAGAAAGAAAGAAAGAAAGAAAGAAAGAAAGAAAGAAAGAAAGAAAGAAAGAAAGAAAGAAAGAATTTTGATTGGGCTTCAGAGACTTATTATTTATTTCTTTGTAAGCTTATGCCTTGCCTTTCTCCTTTCTTTCTCCTTTCTCCTTTCCTTTCCTCCCTCCCTCTCTTCTTCCTTTTCTTCTTCCTTTCCTTTCCTCATCTCCTTCCTTCCTTCCTTTCTCTCTCTCCATCCTTTCCTTTCATCCTATGATCTTGGGCAGACGTGTGTTGCTGTAAAGCCGTGTTTCTCCACTTCAACAACTTTAACATGGGTAGAGTTCAACTCCCAGAATTCCCCACCATTTGACTGGGGAATTCTGGGAGTTGAAGTCCACCCATCTTAAAGTTGCTGAAGTGGAGAAACACTGCTGTAAAGATCTGTGAGATTTTGGTTTGAGAAGGTGCTTGGAGAAGGTACAACTCATTAAAGCAGATACAGTCAAATACTTGCAGATATGGAACCTAGGAAAAAGACATGGTTGCTTTTTTGAGGTGTGGACAAGTTCATGCTCACACATGATCTAAAGGCCATTTTTTTGGAATTGGATCTGAAGCTTGGGGATAGATCCATTGGTTGAAGGGGATGCAAACACACTGTTGGCTCTGGAGCTCATTAGAAGTCATCTTAGAGCTGTCCAAGAGTTAGCTTCTAGGACCTTGGTCTCTGTGACTTCAGGTGTGATGCAAACCCAACCCGCTCTGGTAACTAATGATTCGACGTACTGTATGAACCCTGACAAATGAGTTAATTCAGTAACCAAGTTAAGTGTGTTGTACCAATCTGAGCTGCGGGCAAAAGAAAAGCAGGTTGTGTAAAGGGCAGAAGGAATAACCTTGAGGAACAGGAGGAAATGCTGCAACCGAGACAACGGTCAGATAAGGGAAATCTGAGCCTGGGCCAGACGTGTAATCAGAGGAAGCGTCTCAGACAAGACCCTCCCTAAGGGAGGGAGTGGGGAAGTGCATTCAGACTTGCAAGATTCTGTTACAGTAGCTCTATAATAAAAATAGTGTTAGCCTGTATGACTTTGGCTTCCTAGTCTGGTCTACCTTGAAGGGCTGATAGATGATCACTTTTGGAAACCTGGTCTCCTTCCACTCTCTCTTGCAAATCTCTGCTCAAACAAATTGCTTTAATCGGCAACCTAGACTGGTCTGCTAAAAGGGGAAATTCTTTTTTTCAACATAATGAAAGGGGGGGGGGTTGCCAGCTCAAACTCCCCTCCCCTCTATATATTTTAAGTGAAATTGTTATTAATAGCTAAGCCGCTGAGCATTTTTTAAAAAGCGGACATCTGTTCAGAATGCAAAAGCTATGAGATAACTGTGTATAAAAAAAACAACCCCCCCCAATCATTAACTTATTGTCCTTGACTAACCAACCAGCAACTGAAACCACATTTTTAAAAAAGCAACACTAACAAAACAACACGTACGTGTGTGTGCACCACAATCCTTGTGGTCTCTAACATGACTCAGCTGTTGCCTTTCTACTAGTTCCTGTTCCTTTAAAAACTGCCTTATTTCAAGGCTGGTTTAACACAACGTAGTAAATATTAGATGTGGCTTTGCCAGACACAACAGTCAGAGTCACAGAGTGTGCAATAAGCAACACAAATGTGCCATATTGGAGCTTAACGCACTGGCCTGGTTCATACAACCTCGTAAGACAAGGGCTTGTGTCCCCAGATCCTACAAACGATCACACTTCATTTTAACCTAGTTTAGCATCTTGAGTAACCCCCAACCCCTGTGTTCTGTTTAGTAGGGTCAATTCCTTATTTTAAGTATACATGTATCCCAAGTAAAGCAGCGTGTCTGTTTTGTATTTTAGAGAGAGATTTTGGGGGAAATCTTCATCAAATCATGTCCACGTCTCCATACGCATCTTCTGTGGTCCTTCAAGTGGCATTTTTGCTTCACACTCAAAACCTTCCACCACCTTCAAATCTCATCGGATCCTTGGGCCAGATCTCCTAAGATCTCAGAGTGAGATTGCTGAAATATCACAGAATCATGCTCTCTCTTGTCAGATGGGGTCCATAAGGAAGCACCCCAACCATCTTGACAAATCATGCCAGTTAACCCAAGGTCAACTCAAGCTGGATTGGCTACAGGAATCCCACCACCCATTCCAAGAATTAGGTAAAAAAATACGGCGGCTGTTCTTCTGTTTCTTAGGTCATTTCAACAAGCAACCTAGGAACAGGAGCTGTTGTGGTTTCCTCCCACTATGATTGTGAACTGGGGGGAGCTGGTTATCCCACCACCCAGCAGCTCTGAAGTTGCCTTGCCTTGCTTTAATTCTTTGTGTAGAAACTTTGAGGACTTTGCCCCAGAGCAACCTCTTGACAATCTGTCAGCCTTGCAAGATACCCCAGGCAGGAAGCACGCCCAGATGAACTAATTCTACTTTACTGTAAGGTGACATTAACATAATCTTGCAAGTCGGAAAGGACATTTCTCTCCCTGTCCCCTTTACAGCCCAAGAAACTAGGGAGGGTCCCTTCTGAGATGTTTGCCATACCCCATTCCTTCTGCAGGCTAAGCTGCCTCTTATCCAACCATTCCCCTGGCGGTGACTCTTCCCCCTGTCTCCCAAGATCATTCCCACATTACACAATCCCAGGTATTCTAAGACTCTATCTCCTGGCTTTGTTACCCGATTAGTCGCACAACACCAACAGCATGTGCCTAAGCGTAGGACTGATGCTCATCCAGTGTCTTGCAAGCCATGGCTGAGCAGAAGTGATTTTTCACTAGCGTCTGGAGCAGTCCTATTCTTCTACTTCCCATGGTGGCCCTCAGAACAAGACGTGCCAATGGGCAGCATGGATCCAGAACTGCTTGAGAATGGCACAGCTGCTTCCCCCTTTCCCCCTGACCTTCCAATTCTCCAATAAATTTCCGCAGAGCAGCCTCCAACATCCAACGGATGCACCCATCTGGAGTCTTAACCATATGCTGTCCTCCTCTTACTCTCTCCTGCAAGGTTTCTCTTCCAACCTGTGGATCAAACGCTGAACCCCACTCCACAGAGCAGATGGCGGGGAACAGCCTGCGTATTTATCCTGTCTTATTCGCCTGGGGAAAGGTTTTCTTTTTCATAAACGGCAGCGATCATCAGCAAAAGCTTTAGCCGGCTCCGTGATGCTGTGGGGCCTACCGCTGGCCAGGTTCAACTCACCTGCCCAGCTGGACACCACTGTTATATTGTCCAGAAGCACCCCTTGCTAGAGTCACACCGAATTTGGGAAAGATCGGCTTCCATTCCAGGGGTTTGGGTCGTATTTTCAAAGCATGCATTTATGCACAGCTAGAATTCAGAAGTTGTTATGCCCATCTGTCATTCCCTCACCTTTTCTTTTAACGTTCTGCTAAATTTATTTCTGTGATTAAAATGCACCTCGCCACCAATTATCAGCCTAGATTTACCGGAGTACGCTGCATTGTTGAATGCAGCCTGTTGCAAACGCGGCCTCTTAGTTACATGAAAATAATTTTCTCGCCCACCAAGTGCTTTGCTTCAAGTCAAATCATGGCCCAGGTAACTTCATATTGTCATTGCAGATTTTTATTTTTTTAAACAAGGCATCCGTACAAACCTTAATGTTCATTTTTAAAGGCACTTCTCTTAATATTTGGCACGGATCTGTGTTTCACAGGGACAATTTTTGCACACCAAGGTGGTGTCTGGGCATTAGTGAGTAAACAGATATCGAATATAGCTAATCGCTGCTTCTTCCAGCTGCAACGTCGTTAAAAGAAAGACGGGAAATTAATATGCACAGAGGAACTGCAGCAAGATGATTGGATGCAAAAAGTTGGAACAGCAATGAAATACCTACAGCGGAAGATCGGATTATAACCTCAACTGAACTTGCAGAAATGGCAAAGGTGACCCGTTTGGTCAGAGAAAAACCGGCAAAGATTTTGTGAAAGACTGGAAACTTGGTATGGACTTTGGGTCAAAAGAAGAAAAAAATCGAAATGATGATGGGGGGATGAAAAAGGGACAAAGGGGTTGGGAAAAAGCTGAAGATGATAATTAGTAGACAGAAAGAAGGGCGAAAGGCATAATCGTATGTTTTTTCTTTCTTTTTTCTCTATTTCCTATTTTCTCTCTCTGTTTTGGTGGGTTCTGTATATTTTTACCACATTGAATATATATATATATATATATATATATAGAGAGAGAGAGAGAGAGAGAGAGAGAGAGAGAGAGAGAGAGAGAGAGAGAGA